AGCTAATTTCTATTTTTTTTTTTAATAGAGACAGGGTCTTGCTCTTGCTCAGGCTGGTCTCGAACTCCTGAGCTCAAACGATCCGCATGCTTCGGCTTCCCAGAGTGCTAGAATTACAGGCGTGAGCCACCGCGCCCAGCCTTGAGAGGTTATCTTGTTTGGCCTTCTTGTATCTCTTTGAGGTTAAGTATAGAATGCTGGTGTCCTGAGTTGTATTACAGTAACAAGTGAATTGTGAACTAGAGCACTACTTTCCTCTGTAGTCCCGTATTTCTCCAGCCATGCCTAGTAGTCCCAGTCTCTCTGCTAGCACCCTTTATCTGTGATTCTGGGGCAGTGACAGCTCTGAATGTTAATTACCTCCTGGTATTTTTTATTTTCTCTTCTGAGGCCAAATTGTATTCTCGAACTGAGCTACACTGTACATATGCAGTATATACACTATACTGAATTGAGCTATGGGTATAGTTACATAAAGGTGTTTGACACAAGTTCTTTAGTCAGCCCTAGCGCATATCACCTACAGTGTGGTGCAAGTTACTCTGGAAACTCAGCCCACCTGGGATAGGAACTCTGGCTCTACCACTTAAAATGTGCATGCCCTTGGACAAGTTACCAAGATACCCTGCCTGTGCCTTAGTTTCCTCAAATGTAAAAATGGGGATAATAATAGTACTTACCTGCTAAAGCTGATGAGACTTAACTGAGGTAATATGTATACAAAGAAGATAGAAGTGACAGTCCTTCTCAACCAAAGAACACAGAAAATGATTCGAGTGGCTGTTTTCTCAATTCCCCTAAAGATGGTAAATAGAAAATTTGTTATGTTCGGTGGATGAAGTAGGGCTTAATTATCTTGGGGAACCCAGCCAGGTTACGAAAGGCTGCAATACACAGGAAGCATGCAGGAGATGCTGGCTGCTGCTGTTACTACTGTCTGCAGTATCAGTGGGGTTTTCTGGTTAGCCTTTCATCCACATTTTCAATTTTTCCACCTATGAAGTTTTAGAAATCTAATTGATTTGGTTCTACTATTTCCTGGATCTGTGACTCAATCCTAATTCTCAATCCTTCATCTGAAAATGGGACTATTTATACTGGCTTTGCTGACTACCTCTGAGACAGGGTATGAATTGGTACTTTGTAAGCTCAGAATGAGCATACATCTAGGAAAGTTGTAGTCAGGGGTATTTAGTGTGAGGAAAGGCAGTTAAAGAGGAAATTATGGTGTTCTGTTGTTGCCAGACTCCAAGCAGGGTATCAGTGGGTTTTCCTGAAGGGGAAGGAGGAGGTCATTTTACACACTCACCTATAACATGTTAGTCCCAGGTTATACTTTTCAGTCATACCTGCAACCTTTTAATTTCATTTTAGCAGCAGTTAGGAATTGGGTGCTTTTATTTATTTAAAACATTATTTCCCTTTTCCTTCCAAACCTCAACTAGCACTTTTTGAAGAGCTTCAGAGCTTGGATATCTTCTTGGCTGAACTCTACAAGTAAGTTTCTTAATCCTAAAAATTCCTTTCCTAAAAACCATCTACCTCTTTGGGAGTCGCCTAGCTGTAAGAAATGTTCTTTCTAGAGATTTTCACTGAGTTTTTCTTTTGTCTTCAGGCACCTTGACAGCAGTAGCAATGAGCGCCCAGACATTAGTTCCATCCAGAAACGTATTAAGGTATCCAAATAAAACTTGGGAAATAAATTGAGTTTAAGCGATTTTCATATTTCTGGTTTTATGTAGGGACTGGCACATAGCTGCTGCTCAATAAATACTTGTTGAATAAGCTGAGAATCTCATTCTTTGTTTTTCTTTGTTTTAGAAAGTAACTCATGACATGGACATGTGCTATGGGATGATGGGAAGCCTGTTTCGCAGTGGCTCCCGGCAGACTCTCTTTGCCAGTCAAGTGATGCGTTATGCTGACCTGTATGCAGCATCTTTCATTAACCTGCTGTATTACCCCTTCAGCTACCTCTTCAGAGCTGCTCATGTCTTGGTGAGTTAAGGCTACAGCCGTAAGCTACTGTTGATAGCTAAGATGCACTCTAAGGCCAGAATCAGCAACCAGCTTTGTGGGATGGCATAGGAGACGGTTTGAACATTTGTGATACACAGAGCCCACGTGCAGGTTATATGGTTGTATAAGAAGGGGTCTTTGAGAAAGTACAACCCAAATAGGAGGTTACAGAGTATAACTTCACTCTCTGAAATCTACTCTATTAAAAGTTGTATTTGAATGACCTTTGAATTGAAAGAAATGTGGTTTTTATATTCCTACATTCTGATGCTTTTCTGTTTTAGAACTGATTTTTTGCTATGAAATAGAAGATAAGAATCTCTCCTCTTCATCTTATCTAATTTCAGGCTATAGTAAACAGTATGGACATGGTATTGGGGAAGAGGTAGATAGGCAGCTATAGGTAGTTCTATGAAGATCTGTCTATATTGACCTGTCTTCTGGTCCATCATAGGCATAACTGTGCATGGCCATCTCACAGAGGAGAGGGGTTAGGATTTGGGAAGCAGCTGTTTTACTCTGCTTTCTGAGCCTCTAGCCTTGTCCTATCTAGATGCCTCATGAATCAACGGTGGAGCATACACACGTAGATATCAATGAGATGGAGTCTCCTCTCGCCACCCGGAACCGCACATCAGTGGATTTCAAAGACACCGACTATAAGCGGCACCAGCTGACACGGTCGATTAGTGAGATTAAACCCCCCAACCTCTTCCCACTGGTCCCCCAGGAAATTACACACTGCCATGATGAAGATGATGATGAGGAAGAAGAGGAGGAGGAAGAATAAAGAGGAAAACCAAAACCTTGAGCACCCATTAAACGAGTTCTGGCAGGACTTACAGGAGCAATTGATGGCCCTGTTTGAGTTCTACTGGGGTGGGGGTGGGCAGGGGGATTCTATCAAAGGTACATCTGGAAAGTTTCTGAAGACTTTAATCATAGAGGGACACCTATTTTAGTTTTGTGTATCTGTATTCTTTTCAGGTGGTTCAAAATTATGGAAGAAAGGGTAAAATCAGGCTGAACTGCATGCAGATGGCTCCATTGTGGCTTGTGACACTGTTTCCTTGTCTTTTTTCATCAGTATGTCATAGTGAATCTGGATATACTAAGAAGGTGAAGGGTCTCAAGAGTAGAACAAGAAGGATGATGGGAAGACATGACCCAAAATGCTGTAATGTTACAAATTGTACTATAACTTCAAAATCCAACTTTTTCAACACATTACACAGTATTGTATATCAGTGGAGAAATACATTGTTTCCATTATCAAATGTAGCCTTCTGTTAAGGTCAAGTTTCCTTTTATATGCCTTTTAGTAACCTCAGTGACTCTGGCAAGGCCACTTCTCTATCAGTAGCTTTGCAGTAGTAGTCTGTGCTTGCTTTAGGGCTGGATTGGACTGCAGGGACTATGTTGAGGTAAAAGACTGCATCCTTTCTATATTTTTTTATCCACAACCAATCTTATCTGTGATAAATCTATAGAAAGAATTACCTGAAAGGACAAAGGAGCAAACCCCCAGAAAGGGCAAGGAGGAATCTCCTTCTTCCATTACATCATAACTGAGTAAAATTCCTTAGTCTAGGCTATACAGTTGTGGCTCATGCTACCCAATTCCAGATTCTATCCACTAGGGTTTTATTGTTATATTTTAAAATTGAGCGTTGGAAGAGGGCTTTGTAAGCCAGAATCTTACTAAAGCAGAGGGCACAATCAGTGTGAATAAATTCACTTCAGAATCCCAAGTGAAATCACTTCTTGTTGTTCTGAACAAGAATGAATCATTACTATATATGTTAGGGTATTTTATAAACAGTGAAAGTTATTCCAGCATTTTTAACAAGTGGTATAGACTCTTACTTTAACCTTCATATATTTTCTTCCATTCTTATTATCATTGGTTAGCAGGGGAGGGTAGATTAGCTGCTCTAGAATTCAATAAAGTATAATATTTCTAATACTGACTTTGACCCCTTCTGTAGCACAATTGTAATAGCTGTTGGTTTCCAAATGGGTTTAGGTTTGGTTTAGTGACATCAGTTTGACTTTTTCTCTTAAAGGAAATATGCCCAGATCACTTTTAAAAAGAAATATTTGAGAATTGATATAGTCTAACATGATTATAATAGTCCAAAAAGTTTTTTGGAACTGTGAGGTGACGCTTTTTTAAAAAAAATCACTTCATAGGTGGGGGGTACAACTCAGCTACAAGGATGCACTGTCTCCCTACTTTTAATACATATGGCTTTAGATTAAGTCATGTGAAGAAACATACATTCTAAATGCTAGCTGTTGGGAATATACGCCCCTTTAAAAGAATCAGGTTAGAAACGGTATTGCAAATAACAATTAGACCCTTGGTCCCTGTTTTAAAATTTTAGGGAATGTATTTTGTCATCACCCCAGTTACTAATTATTCTCATTCAACATGGAGATGTTGCCCAGTTTGACATAGAAATTATTGGGGTTTGAGAAAACGTAAGATTAAGCGCTCATTACAACTACAGAGCCACTTTATTAGAACAGTACATTTATGTATATTCCCTTTTAGAGCGGGGACCACATGTTCACTTTGCTTTAATTCACCGTACTTTTTCTATTATGTCCATCTAAGAGTGTCTTACTAGCCAGATGACTCTCTGGGTCCAAAGATGGGGAAGGGAAGAGCACACAGTTAGAATAAGAATTCCACTGCTAGTCACAGCTTTCTCTATGACCACCAAAACATATCAAAGAGCTAGGATCCCACAAAAAGTCTAAGACCCAGAGCAGAGTGTTGCTTCTCTGTACGTCCTTCTTGTTAAGTCAGTGGTTCATGTGCGGGCGGGCACCTAGGACAGCTATGATTGGGCTTTAAACATGAATTATGAGTTTCTCCCTGTTGCCAGTAGTTAAGCTGAACTTAAAAGGAAAAATAATATACATTTAACCTGAGGAGTTTTATACCATAAGATGATAGATCTGCCATCTCTTTTCAGAATTTTTTCCTAGGTATTTTGGAAACTACTTACTTACAGGCTTTGTAGAACACACCGCCTTCTTGAGTGCTAGACTGAACTCCCAATATCAGAGCACGTACAGGGAACCCTGGCCTACCTGGCAGTTGGTCAAAGGTACAGCAGACCCAGGTCCTGCTGGGTTTCCTCTGCAAGAGGAATCACCCAGTACATTCACCTCTGCAAAGATAGTCAGTTAAAGCTCCGATAGTGTACTTCACAAAAGTTGTTCAAAGCCAAGGAAGTTCAGTGTTCTGTTTTAGACCTAAGATTTTTCTCTTTTACCATAGCATAGCTCTGCTGAGATCTAAAATATTAAGGCAAATCCTTCAAGCTATCTTTTCTAAGATGCTTCCAGAAGCGGTTTTTAATAGAACTATAGTGAGCGCCACAAATCCTTAAGTCATGTTAGTATTGTTTTTAAGAAACCACTTATAAAAGCCACAAGCAGTTACATGTCAGATTTAAAAGTATTTTGCCCAAGTTTAGATATTTCTAAATCAGATTTATTTATTTAAGAAATATTTTGTCAACAACTTTAAAGCCCCGCAATTTTTCCAAGGCTGCCTGGGCATTTTAAAATACTTTGCTTATTCACCACAAATAGCCTGAGACAAACAACTGCATATTTAAGTCTGTATTAGGGTAGGAACCTTGTCCACATTCCATGTTATGGAAACTATTTAATCTCTCTTTGATGGTGGGAAAAATGGTAACTATGATCCAGCTATTGCCATACAGTTAATGCTCCCAATTTCTCCCTTGGTTTAGTAGTTTAGGGCTCAGTACTTACATTTTTCATGACAGTCTTTCTTGGTGACTAGGGCATCCAGCTCTTCTTAAAGTTTTTCTTCAACTAGAACAATTTCAGATGATACACAACTTTGGGAGCCCCTCAGAACGAAATCTCTAGCATGGGAGCTACCTGAGCAACTGTGAAGACAGAAGAAAGATGTGCACTAAAGGAATAGGGATGATGTGCGCGTGCACACGTACAACAGAAAGCAGAACCAGGTGACTTCTAGAGACCCATACTGTCCCATCATACACCTCCGCTAACGGGAAAGTAGCATGTCACACCGTTCTCTCACTGCTTTTAGTATCTAGCAATAGCAGAAAGCAAGTCATCTAAAAAGAGAGCACACTTGTTTAGAAGATGAACAAAACAGCTTTTCTATTCTTTAACCTGGATTTCTCAACCATTTTTCCCTACCCCCAACACATCTTCATCCTAAGGCTATAACAGTCTGACTTGTTCCAACAAAGGTTTGTAATTTCAAAACTAAAACATACACAGTAAAGTCCCTCTGTAGAGCTTTAACACAAAAAAGTACTCCAACTGAACACAGAATTACTTCATCTCACACTTGCTGCCTCTGTTACTTTAATGAATCTATGTTTTCCAATTTAAAACAAAATGACCAGTTTTAAGTCTGGTCCCTTTATGTTTCTTCACACAAAATAAGATGCCTTTGCTCCATTTTATTACTAGAGTAAGAGTGGATTAGATAGATTGCTTCATGAATCAAATTAGGTAAAAGTCTGTCCCCAAATGCTCTGATTTCGAGCTATTGAGCTATTCCCAAAGCCATGCCTGGCCAGGGATGTAGACAAGGCCTGAAGAATCTGGGCCGAGATAAACCTTCCCAAAGTGGAGCCCGAGCAGCTGAGCACACATTCTTCCCATGAAAGACAGCAACAGTCCCTCCAAATCTCAGAAGTTCCTCAGACACCTGGAAAGAGGATTTGCCAAGCAAACCTTCCCAACACTGAAAAATGTTTATTAAACATCCAGTCTTTTTTGAGAGAGAGTTCTCACCAGAGGTAATCTTTGACTTATGAGTGTGGGTATTTTGTAACTATTTTTGGACCCACTGCCCTCAAGGATGTAGCAGAACTATGGTAGGAAAGCTGGCTTGATCTAAAACTTCCTGTCCTGTTTTAACCTGTTTGAATATTTCACAATCACTAATACCTTAACAGGAAAGCACTTCAGAGAAGTCTGGCAACTGATTCCCCCTTAGAAACTTGCATTCTCACAACTTGCATCCATCGGGGCAGTGGCATGGCACCAGAAAGTCACAGAGAAAAGGGCCCTATAACCATCCCTTTGGACTTCTTGAAAATAAGAGCACAGATGTAAGGCCCCTGGAGGAAAATGATGAAACAACCATACAAAGAAAGCAAAAGAGTTTATTAGCCATCTATTATTATTCAACTTTTTGGCTTTCATAAGGAATTATCTCTTTATAATATTTAATTACCTTCAAAAATTGTAAAACAAGTTCCCAGAAATGAACTCCAGGCTATAAAAAGGTTATTCAGTCACTTTCTCTACAAGACCCTCTGACATACTTGTTTCCTCGTGAGTGCTGAGTTGAGAGGCTCTGGGGAGCACAATTAAGTGAAACCAACTCTAGAGCACATCACAGTAGAGCTGAGAAATGAACTGGCACATGTGTACTCAGGATGCAGAAGGAAAGCTTAGGCAAATTGCCTCTTAACAGGAGGAAAAAATGCCTCCACTTTTCTTGGGTCATTTCCTAATAGGAGCTCACGACTCATCTAGACAAAGTGAGGAAAGCAGCAGGTTGGGAGTGAATGTGCTGCAGTGATTTCTTTCCCTAGCTCTGCTTTCTGCCCTGCTTAAGGGAAGCAAGCAGGCTCCCAAAACACAGCTCCACTGGGATGTGGACAGACGGCATTCCACTTTCAGGAGATCGGGTAATGATCGGGAGGTGGAGCAGTGGTTAGGGCAGGCAGTGTCTCAAAGCCAGTCTTGTCAGCATCTCTTCACTGAAATGTCTCCATCCACAGGACAAGTGTAAGTAAAGTTGACCGCAGATGCATGGTTAAATAAATCTGGGGGGACTATAAGGGGCTAGTCAAGAGGCTCAATTCTCAGAGCATGATCCTCTTTGGAATGTAAAATAGAGATTAAGAATAGGGAAATAGGGATTCTAAAAAGGTACAGTCTAGGAATATATCACAGAGGGACACTGAAGCTGCCCCAGAAGATAGTCGGGGTCTGGTCACATAAGCAAGGAGGGCAAGAAGGAATAGAAAACTTGAAGCAGTGGTAGAAGAGGATGTGGACCATACCACTGGATTACTGGGGAATGTGGGATGCACACTGGATCCTAAAGAGCATCTGAACACACCTCTCGCACCCAGGCAGAGTGTGTCCAACCTGAGGATGGCCCATCTACGCCTACTCCGACCTTCCTCCCAGGCTTAACATAGCAGAGGACCTACAAAGCCACTCTCGTCTTCACAAGCCAATTGAGAGGCCTGAATGAGGCCTTTGGTCTTGCCTAGGAAAAACCAGCTCAGCTGAACTGGGTGTTATCAGTGACTGAGCAGCCAACACTGGGGTAATTTAACTGGATACTCTGTCTTTATCTATAGAGCAACTGATGAGGGACACCCCTCCTCCTAGAATTGGCTGTACCAGGTTATAACTTGAAGGCACAGAACTAGCACCCACTTCTAACACAAAACTTTGCAGCATCTATCCAAAGGAGATGCCCTGCTGAGATCCAATCACAGGTTTCCCACCCGTAAAGCCAGGCAACTGGAACTGGACAGGGCAGTGGGTCAGCCAGGCTGAACACGATGTCATGGTTTGTGTTGCATAGATGTAAGGGGAAAGAGGGAACACACATCTGCTGGAAGGGTGAACAGAAAATCATCATTTATCTAAATAGAATAAACAAAAACTTTTTAA